TCACAATTCTTTGCTGAGACTCGATTAACACCCATTTGGGTTAATCATGAAAATTGTAAGGTCTTTAGGACTGTCCTTTTATTTCTGGTGGTTTAATGTAATAATGCATATTTAAAGATAAACCAGGACCAGCCAGTGGCATCATGGTTAAGGTGGCTGGTCTCACATGCCTGACTGCATGGCTCATGTCTCAGACATGAAGACAGTTTGTAGAACATGTAGGGTCTGTGTGCATGCATACCCACAATCCTGTGGAGAAGAAGGAATTGCAATGTGGCCATCCCTCCATGGGTGCTTTCTCAACCTCCTCCTCACAAGTTATGTGCTGTATAGCAAAAGATAAAGATGAAAAAAATTTAAATAAAAAGAGATAAGTTATAGAATTTTAGTTCAGGTTAGTTTTTATTTTTAGTAGTTGTAAAACAATTTCTATTTTTATCTCAAGGAGCATTAAGTAGTATAAAGTGCTGATTTATGAAATAAGTGAAATCCACTTGATAAAGTTAGAGGAATGAAGTTTGTGAAGTTTACTCAAACCTGGTGAACATAGGTTACTGTCACTTATAGATACTACCAAATTACTGAATTTTTAATTTTTTTTGCTTTTAAAATGTTAAGGATGTTGTTCAGCATGTGGTAAGAAAACAAATTCAAACAATACAGAAGGATAGGAAGCAAAACATGAATGCCACCCTTTTCACTTTGTTCCCAGAGTTGCTAGTCAGTCAGTCTCTGGTTCTTATAGTTCCAGCAGGAGACACTCCTACTCTATAAAATGTGCTCATGTTTGTTTCTCAATTAGTCTGCCACTGTGACTCCATTATCCAGATAAAATGTGAATCTTCTTAGAATGCTCTGGGAGCCCTCCCCACAGGTGATTTGGTCTCTCCTTGTGCGTTATTATATCACGCAAATAGGCTTTTCTTATGAATTCACCAGGACACATCTTGAGCAGGTGTTGAACTGTCTGTGCCTCTCTCCAAGCTAGTGCTTCTTAAGATTTTTTTCCCTGAGCCTAGTTATTTGAAATGAATTTGAGCACCAGTGATACACATGGGGTTTGAAATATCTTTCTAAGCATTAGAATCACATCACTATCAAACTTTGAACCTGCCTCTGTGGTAGACTCCCAATAATTGCTGGATGAATGGATGAAGTGCCAATGACCCTTCCTTATTGATTATCTACCAGAGAGCATTTAACAGAGTTTGAATATTTATCTAGAAAAATGAAATGCCACATAAAAAAACCTTATATGCTCTTAAAAGTCAAACAATATGGGTTGGAAATGGTAGTTAATGACTAGTGTCCGAGAACAAGAAGATTTGGAGACAGATGAAATGGATCGCAGAAGACAGCTCCTGCCGACAGCCTTGTAAAAGGCTAGTTTGGACGAGTACATGCTTGCAACACCCATCCTGCCACTTCCCACTCCCCAGATCATGAGATGCTGACAAAGCCTGGCCTACAAATTACTGATTTAACGCAAAGCAAATGCTTGTCCCTGGAATGAAACAGCTGAAAAGAATTAATTTTCTCCCTGCTTTTAGAGAGAAAAAAAAAGCCAATATATTTTTACCTGCTAAAGTACAATTACATGTGCTTTCCAGGCCTCTCCAGAAGTGCTTTATTGAAACTGCTATATCCAGGGTGGTAATAAATGTATAAACAAAGGCAGATTAGGCCTTTCAGTGAGCAAAGTAGGGTTTTGTGTTTTTTTTTTTTTCCATTTTAAGTTCGTGATTAGATACAGATAATGAGAATATATGCAAATGTGTGGCATAAATAGTCAATCTCATTGTGTGGGTACATTTCTTCCTTTGTACCTTGGCATCGTCTGTGCTGGTAGGAGCTTGGTAGATCCTGTGAAGTTCAGAGATTCCTGCATTGGAATGGTTAGTAGGGAGCACTGATTATGGGGATCAATGAGAAACAGGCTCCATATGTATAAGGAAGACATTAAGCAATCCAAGCTAGAGGGCATATAGGCTCTCAGGGGTAGAAAAAGGACGTATGTTTGACCTGTGTTGGGAGTCCTTCACCTTAACAGAGTTTAGCTCCACAGTTTACCGAGGGCCTGATTCTCTGATGCACACACATCGTAACTGTTACCTTGCCATTAAGTTAGCCCCATCTTCCTTAGAGAATAACTTCCCATTTTTTCTCACTCAAGAATGTGTTCATGATACTAATAATTAAGTTAGGCATCTGATGCTGCTTCCATTTGTCTATTTGTACACTTTTGTACCTGTTTTTTTTTCCCCATCTTTTACTATGTAATGTTTCATATATTTCTAAAAGAAGGACATAATAAATTTGTAAGTTATAAAGAATAATAATAAAATGCACACCTGTGGACCTGCCACCCAGCCTACGAAATTGCCTATTACTCATAACTTTGAAGCCCCCATGTGGGCTTCTCTGATCTTAGTACTGTGCTTTCTCTCATCTTTTTTTCTGTGTTTACTCCTTGCTTTTCCTGAAAACTTTTTCATATTTTCTTTTAATATTCTTAAATGGTATATCATTTAGTTTTACTTGATGGTGAACTTTATAGTAATGACATTTTATATGATTTTTGTCTATGAGGATTTTTGTCATTTCTTACATAATTATCTGAAAGGATAGTGAGTTTCTTTATCATTTTAGACTTACCTCTATAAAATCAAACTGTCTGCAGTTGCTAGTTAGAACTAAAATATAGTGTTTTTTTTCCTTCTCTTTACAGAGCAGGCCAGAGTTCTATATTGAGTACTTATTTTGGGTCATGGTTAT